GCAAAACTTGTTGGGGTTCTTATTCCTAAAGGTACAAAATTATCTCAAAACGATGGAAAACCTTTTCCAGATCCAGCAAGGTATAGAAGATTGATTGGTATACTTTTATACTTGAATCTAACAAGGCCAGATCTTACATATGGGATACAGCAATTAAGTCAATTCGTCAACAATCCTTGTCAAATTCATTGGGATACTGCAATGCATTTGTTGAAGTATTTGAATGGATGCCCTTCTAAAGGATTGTTCTTTCTCGTTCAGCAAGACCTTTCATTAACAGCATTTACGGATGCGGATTGGACGTCTGGTGTTGATACTCGGAGGTCACTGACTGGTTTTTACGTCTTCTTAGGTCACATTTTTATTTGTTGGAAAACCAAGAAGCAAACTACAGTCTCAAGATGAACTACGGAGGCCGAATACAGAAGTTTAGCTGCTACAGTTTGTGAACTTCGCTAGATTAGTTATATCCTTTCAGATTTTATGATCAACTTGTCTCTGCTGATTCCTTTATGGTGTGATAACAAATCTGCTCTTCATATTATAGCCAATTTAGTTTTTCACGAACAAACCAAACATCTCGAAATTGATTGTCACCTTGTGCGGGATAAATTCAAGGAGGTTTTGTTCTTCCTCAATATATTTCCTCTTCCCAACAACTTCCAGAAGTTTTCACAAAAGCTCTGCCAACTCCTCAGTTTCGTTTCCTTATCGCCAAGCTGGGTTTAGAAGATCTTCATCACGTTCTAGCTTGAGGGGGGATGAAGAATTATTTTCTTTTATTATATTTTCTTTTATCTCCTTTTATTCACATGCTTTATTTACTTTAGTTAGTTTATTTGTTTGGACATGTGTCTACCTTTCATTAGTTACAATTTTGTATATATATGCTTTGGATCTGAATGTAAAAACATCAGATTGAATAAATAGAATTAGAATGAAATACGTAGCACCTATTTGCTGCATAAAATCTTCATCTAAAAATTGAACAATAAGATGAATTCTATTTCATGGCTGCTTCAGTTTCTTTAGCATTAATAGAGCTTCCTGTTGAGTGATATCCACAGCAAATGAAACTACAATATGCTCCAGACCTCGTTCTTTCACTATATTATGGCTCATATCTTGACAAGAGTAATCAAGAACAAATTAGCTAGGATCACTAAATAATAGGAAGCTAATTCCTGTCTTTTTTATTTTTTAAGTTGAACTCACTTAATTTACTTTCCGATGATATATTATTTCCTTGATTCTTACTTTAACTTCTGAAAGGAACTGCACTCGAATCTTGTATGCAGGGTTGTGTGAGGTACCAAAGTTGTTTTTTGGTGTAGTGACATCTTTATTTGATATGAGATTCTATCCCTTAACATGCCCCGGCAAGATGATGGCTCATTTGAGCAGACCAATCTTGAAATCCGTATGCTCACTTTTTGGAGTCTTAACCGGATCGAATTGCTCGTAACAGATTAATGAGCTATGATACTATGTTAAAAATGGAAAATGCTATTTGTACTCACACATTTTTATAAAATGGTGTACTCACTCTCACAAAAAATGAGGGCCCCTTATGAATTCAAAAATGGTGACTGTGTGGTCCCCACTCCTCTTGTGTGTAGTGAGTAAGTAAGTTTGTAAACCATGTAATACTTCTAGCATTGTCCGTTAAAAATTGGTGTTCCATCTTAAAATGTCAACCTTTCTAAGAGGTGTAACTCAATCTATTTACACAATCCACTTCATAAGGTAAGGGTAATCATCCCCTAAAAAATCGGTTTTGTTAGGTTTAGTTAAGAAAAATATCATTTCTAATATGGTATCAGAATATGCCCAATTTTGCAATGTTGGGTGCACCCAATATTAATTTGTTTACAATTGTTTGATATGATTTACGCTGTGCGTGAGGGGGCGTATTAGAATCCAACATTGGCTGGTGATATTTACACGATCCACTTAATAATATGAGGACAATCCTCCCATAACAAGCTGTTTTTGTTAGGTTGAGTTAGACCCAATATCCTTTATAATACTCCTTGATGCACTTTATAAGAAGATCGTATATAAGTATATTTTAAATCCCACTTGATAGAGATCATTAAACAAAATAGGATCGTTGCTCATCAAAATAAATCATACGTACTTTATTTGCTGCATAAAATCTTCATCTGCAAATTGAACAATAAGATGAATTCTATTTCATGGCTGCTTCAGTTTCTTTAGCATTAATAGAGCTTCCTGTTGAGTGATATCCGCAGCAAATGAAACTACAATATGCTCCAGACCTCGTTCTTTCACTATATTATGGCTCATATCTTGACAGGAGTAATCAAGAACAAATTAGCTAGGATCACTAAATAATAGGAAGCTAATTCCTGTCTTTTTTTATTTTTTAAGTTGAACTCACTTAATTTACTTTCCGATGATATATTATTTCCTTGATTCTTACTTTAACTTCTGAAAGGAACTGAGCTCGAATCTTGTACGCAGGGTTGTGTGAGGTACCAAAGTTGTTTTTTGGTGTAGTGATATTTGATATGAGATTCTATCCCTTAACATGCCCCGACAAGATGATGGCTTATTTGAGCAGACCAATCTTGAAATCAGTATGCTCACTTTTTGGAGTTTTAACCGGATCGAATTGCTCGTTACAGAATAATAGGCTATGATACTATGTTAAAAATGGAAAATGCTATTTGTACTCACACATTTTTACAAAATGGTGTACTCACTCTCACAAAAAATGAGGGCCCCTCGTGAATTCAAAATGGTGGCTGTGTTGTCCCCACTCCTCTTGTGTGTAGTGAGTAAGTAAGTTTGTAAACCATGTAGTACTTCTAGCATGTGTACTCACTCTCACAAAAAATGCGGGCCCCACGTGAATTCAAAAATGGCGGCTGAATGGTCCCCACTCCTCTTGTGTGTAGTGAGTAAGTAAGTTTGTAAACCATGTAGTACTTCTAGCATTGTCCGTTAAAAATTGGTGTTCCATCTTAAAATGTCAACCTTTCTAAGAGGTGTAACTCAATCTATTTACACAATCCACTTCATAAGGTAAAGGTAATCATCCCCTAAAAAATCGGTTTTGTTAGGTTTAGTTAAGTAAAATATCATTTCTAATATGATATCAGAGCATGCCCAATTTTGCAATGTTGGGTGCACCCAATATTAATTTGTTCATAATTGTTTGATATGATCTACGCTGTGCGTGAGGGGGCGTATTAGAATCCAATATTGGCTGGTGATATTTACACGATCCACTTAATAATATGAGGACAATCCTCCCATAACAAGCTGTTTTTGTTAGGTTGAGTTAGACTCAATATCATTTATAATACTCCTTGATGCACTTTATAAGAAGATCGTATATAAGTATATTTTTAATCCCACTTGATAGAGATCGTTAAACAAAATAGGATCGTTGCTCATCAAAATAAATCATACGTACTTGAAAATTGAAATTAAAAAAAAAAAGTCATATTGCTTTTACACAACCCAAATCAAATTCGCCAAAGTTGAAATTAATTGCTGTCTTCAATTTTGACCTATACAAATTCATACTTTTTCTTATTTTCTTGTTATATTATCAAATCAAAGTGTTTGACCATTCAAACTGAGATGAATTAATTAATAAGGTTGGATGCAAAACATCGTTGAAAACAACACAGATTTCGTCAAATGGAATGTTCATGTTCATATCCAACTGGGAATGAATGTACCCACTGGAAACAGTAATCTACAAAAGCCACTTGTGTTATTTTCATTGATGTTTTACTTCAATTTGTCCGTTAAAGTTTCAAATGCGTGTTGTAATCTCTGTCAATGGCCGTCTTCTTGTACTGATATCACCCTAATTAAGAAAGTCAAATTAAGTACAGTTTGCCTCCATTAATAACGCGTAACCTCGGCCGTCTGTTGTGTCCGAAAGGAACCAGCTAAACAATTTTATACACATGAAAGACGTGTTTTATGTGAAATACTTCGTGCTACAACCATTCATTCTTTTCAAATATTTTCTGGGAGAATTTACCACTGTTGAATAGTTTTTTATTTCTTGATGTATATGTTCTAGATACAGATAATACTTGGAATAAGACATAAGCACGGGGACATTGTGTTGCATAAGAAATACGAGTAATTTATTTATTTCCAATCTTGTTATCCTTGCACAATAAAAATATGTAATCAAAATGTGATAAGCAATCCTACTGAATGGTTACATTATGCTTTATCACGTGAAAATTTACGAATAGTTGAGAATTTGAGGTCAATGAATATTGATTCCAATGAAAATATCTCAATAGTGTCTTTGTTCAATTCAAAACAAGCCAAAAAACCAACACCCTTGCCCTCGACTCTAATAAAAATTGTATCTAATGCTCTAAACCCTAATTAAATAAATAACATAATAAATAAAACATTAAAGTGTCCCGGAATTTGGTAGCGGTGTTACAATTATAGTCGCATGTGAAATATCAATGTTTGAATCACATACATTAATTTGATCTCTCTTCACCATTCAAAAGCAATTATTAACAATTAAACTTATAAGCTACCCTGGAACCATACTGCATGTACTATGAACTTGACTAATAAGTAATGAATTTAATGAATGTATGAGGTCACAATCAAGTTCATCTAGAACAAGTTTTGTTGTACAATTAAATAGAAACAAAACAATTCCAATGACAGTACTTTCTATTTTTACCAATATATATGGAGACTAAGTAAATGGGCATTTTGTTTGAGCCTCGAGAAGGGGGAAAATGGGAGTTGAAAACAAAATAAAAATTTGACAAGATGCAGCACGTATCCAAGCCGGCTCGAGGAAAAAATGAAATCACAAAAGACAAATAAAATATAGATAGGCTGATTGTTGACCACCCCTTTCTCTTCAAACGTCAAATTATAATTTCCACTGGAGAGTCTTTGCTCTTGTAATTTTCAACTTCCTATGGTAATTTTCAACTTCGGAGACTTTCTGGAAGAAAAATTTGTTTGAGATGGAGCCCGAAAAGCATAGGAGTTCCGACACAAATTCAGGCCAAGAAAGTGATCATCGGAAGGAGAAAATCAACGACGATGATAACTCAGGTGTTGAGAGATCATACGAGTGCAATTTCTGCAAGCGCGGCTTCACGAACGCGCAAGCTTTAGGAGGGCACATGAATATACACAGGAAAGATAAAGGCAAAGCGAAGCCGAAAAAACAGGAGGGATCTTCAATTCAGAATAAATATAACAATGAAGATTTCTTAGATTCAAGATTTTTCCCTCCAGTTCCATCCAGCGATAGAAATAATTTTACGGCTGTGAGGAACTATCAAGTCTACTTGCCATCATCAAACTCTACTTTGTCGTCACGTGATGATCTTCATCAGAACAATTTGCCACAGGAAAATATTATATTTTTCGACGATCATAAGGATGAAAACTTCAGTCTGAGGATCGGTCCCCCACCTCGTAGAGATGGAAAGAACGAAAACGTAATCGCGAAGGAAAATGAAATAGATTTGGAGCTTCGACTTGGCCACGGGCACGATCCATAATCAAATATTCATTTATTGGTAATAAATCCAGTTTTATAGCGTACAGATATCCATGTGAGTTTACAGATGGCCTTAATTACTTTGTATTTGAACACGAATTATGAATATTTTCCTACTTAATTTTGGTTAAAAATATATAAGAAAAGAAGAATACAAGTTTGTTTGCTGATTATCTCTCTTTCTTTCTGTCTCTTGTTCTCATGTGCAAGAGCATGTGAAATTAAAGATACAAATGCAGAAGTAAAAATTCATACATTTTTAATGGCATTAATTTCGATAATCCCTTTTCTTTTTTGTAGTACTCACAGAAAGTGTATGGAAAACTTAAAATCAAGCGAATAATTTCTTAATTAGGTCGGCATGCATGTATTATGAAGTTTGAACATGAAATTCAGTTCATTATTTATCTTTCTTTTTCGTCAATTACAGTTTTCTTAGTGCTGTGTATTGTAAGTTAATTTCATTCAGATCAAACTAAATGTACACTTCTGATGCAAACTGATTTGAACACTCTGTTATTACTACTCTTTTCTTGGGAAATCTCACATTCTGGGAAAGTCAGCACTCGATTCTGGTAACCATCTGATTCAAAGGCCTATTATTGGAAATTGAGGAAGATAAAATTTCTCAAGTTTTTTGACTGATATGTATCTTCAATTTTTGACCTAACATGTATCTTTTTCCTTCGCTTTTATTTTTCTTATGGGCACTTCCTACAAAATATGATTCTTTCTTGTCCCACATCCAATGAAGATTAATTAGCTCTCACTGTGCGTTCCTATAAAAGGAGCTCTTGAGTTTATGTTCCCATCCATATTTGAATTATAAACAGTTCACCTTTTAAATTTTTTGAAATAAGTGTTTGGATAAGTGGATACTACGAACCTATAAAAATTGTGAATAAAAAGTGATTTATTGATTATAAATAGTTTATAAACATTAGCCAAACTAGGCTTAGAGAGAGCTTTCTTTTAGTGAGACTTTGAGCTTTTCTTAATCTTGCTTGGTGTATGTTTTGGGGTGTTCGGAATATGGGGTTTCAGTACTTGTATTCTGACATTTTGGTTAATAGTGAAAGTGTCTTCTCGGCTTTGTGCAGGATCAGACTTGACTAAAAAATCTTTTAAGTCGAACTAATATGTAAAAGAAAAAATTCCAAATATATATATATATATTTTAACATATTTCATTGTTTAGGAAAAATGAAAACTCAAAGCAACATGTTTTTTATGTGAAACACATAATAATGTTGACATATACAATGACAATGTGGTGAAGTGGCTTTTATGCACACTCAAAGGCGTAATGTTTAAACGACATCTTGTTTTGTCTTTGATCAATTGACATATGGGTTCAAACTGAGCGCGAGTTTCTGATGCATTTATCGTACCAAAGGAACGGTCAGCCTTTTCAAAAGCATGACAGGAAAACGCACGGAAAGGATGAAGTTGCTGTTGATTATATTGAACTTCAAGCAATCTTGTTTTCAAATGCAAATAGCACATCAGTGAGGCATCCTCCAGCTACGTGCGTGTGTATGGTATTCTTTGGGAATTAACTCACCCCATTCTTTTGAAGAGTTGGTCATACACGCCTTTATGATCCAGATTGTAAGGCATGGAAGTTATTTGTGGAGTTATGCTTGTGACAAGAAATTTATGAGGGATCGTATGCATGAAAAGTGCAAAGAATTCATGGCGATTTCCACCACTCCCACAAAATTAATTTTTAAAATTCAAGTTCAAATATGAAGACGAATTCGAAATTCAAGCTCCGAAAAGGACAAGTCCAATGAAAGGGTCTTCTAACTTCAAAAGAATTTGAAGAATGATTCTAACTTTCGTAGAACCCCAGGTCAATTCCTTGAATAGAAAATAAATGAATTTCTGAAATCCAATTCGTGTGGTTTAGGTGTAGACGATGGGGAAATATCCAATGATACTTACAGAGTTATTTTTTTATTATTAGTCGATCCAATTCTGAATTTGTTTCTTACTGTCGAGGATCTTTATACATTCATTATGTGTGAATCGCAGAATCCCATAAGCCATCAAGTTTTTTTAGTTTAAGTCGCACCCGAAGCCGTTAAGTTGAGTGACCGTTTGAAAATCTGCAAGTGAACGGGATCAAGTAATATAGTAGTGTGTAAAGTGTCGAACTCACGAGAACTATGTGTTTTATCGAGTTAAAGTTAATAATACCCTTAATCGAATAACAATAATAATTTGTAATAAATTTATGTCTAATTAATCACGTATTATAAATAACAGTTTATCAAATTTTTTAGATGCATTGTTAAGATGTAGAATCCCCCTTGTTAATTCATTTTTAGTACAACAATTAAAATGACTCTTTTTTATCATGCGAGTTGGTCGAAATTTCAATTTTATTCAACAGCCTCTCTTGATAGCAATTAAATTTAATCATATATGTGACATTTCTATATCTCTATAAAAGATACAAATATATAAGAAAGCATTAAACGAGCTAAAATATCAAAATAACCATGCGAAACATAGATGTATATATCTATCATCTATCGAACATCACAATGCTTATTACTACGTGCTAACAGTTCTATTATCTATTCGATAATAATAAAATTCACTAACAATTCAAACAATGACCAATTAATTGAAAAACATACTAAACCATAATAAACATTCACGCATTCAAACAAATTAACATTAAAATAATTAATTAATACTAAAAATTTCAAAATAAGGGTTCATCTATATCTTTAGGAATGTAAAAATCTAGCCTATCATAATATTGAAATTAAACAAGCAAAAGTGGAATGACACCACTGAAAAATGACCAAACGTGAATAAATTTGAAATTAATTCAAGCTTCTTTTTTTTCGGTTCCTGCGTGATTTTCTTTCCTGCTATGCTGTGTGTATATATATTTAATATACAAAGCCACTTTTCCTTGTCCTTTTCATCCAAATGCCCAATTCTCCTGCTCTTTTTCCAACTCTGTCTGCGTGTATCTATTTTTCTCCTCAACTGCGTGTCACCCTCTTTCCTCCGTGTGTGTATATATTTGTAAAATATATAAAGAGGAAATTACAGCTAGAATGGGTTTTAAAGTTTTGTTTTCATAAATCAAGAATCAAGTATAATAATACAGAAATCAAGTTTTAATTAATAATTAATAGTTCATATTTAAATATTATAAATAAACCCTAATTCTCTCTCTCTCTCTCTCTCACTTTATCACA